ATACATGAAGGATAAAACAATTGGATTATTTTCTTACTGTCATTTTAACCGTTAAAGAGATACAAATATATAAGCAATACTTCAAGAGATAAAATTTTGTAAAGATTTGGCCACCTTTATTATTATCTTTCAAGCTATCGACCGAAAAGAAATACTATCGCTCAATGAAAGGAAGATACACATGAATTGAATACCTATATTACTTCATTTAATTCTTTTAGATAAAAAGATGAATACTAAGATAGATTCCCCTATGAGATAGCTTAAATTAATTATAAATCAATATAGGAATATCAATTGCCTTGATACTTGCTTTGTCTACAGTATTGACTACCAAACAAAACGAAATTAAGAGACCAAATTAAACTTTCTTCAAAAGATTTAAGCATTAGTTTCAAGTGAGCTAATTCAACTACCGAAAAAAGGTGGTATGCTATCATTGTTTGTAAACCAATCCTTTCGGCTGCTTAATTTGGGATACAGCCTACGTTTGTTTTGATTAAGAGTTCTAAACAAGGTAAAAAAAAAATCAACGTTTTTAAACACGGAAGGTTGGATGAATGAGATGAGATTCTAGTTTGACTGTGGTTTTGCTGCTTCAGTCGTCAGATTAAGAAATATTAGCCCTTTATCTATTGAAATTAAATAATCTGAATAATTCTAGACTGAAAAAAAAATTGGTTGAAACGGCTCCATAATCTAGTTGTTACCGAATTTGATTGCTTATACTGACTTTTGACCGAGTTCGGCCATCGTATCCTTTTCTTTTATAATTTACTTTAGGGGTTTAATGTAGAATCGAACCGGTTTCATTGCCCATTCACCACCCAACAAGTGAAACCAAATCCATCAAGTCCGGTTTTCAAAACATTGACGAAAATCTTTAAATTTAGTGTTCTACCTACAAATATGTTTTGGATAACTTTTTTGTATATTGTTAGTATATAACATTTTACATTAATAGGTTTAAATCATATGACACGTAATATAAATTCAAATCACGCACATATGACGTACATCGAAAATAGCCGGTATGAAAAATTCACTACACTGTCAATGCATAAAAAATTAATCAAATGTCTTTGAAGAGATTTTATTTTTCCTTTGAATTGATTGGACAAATTGAATTGGTCGAAGTGAGAGCTAGCCAATGGATTTATTTGCCTCTTTCTTTTCTCGGTCTAAATTAAAAAAGTTAACAATCATTATAGCTCAAAAATATCACCACGTGGACCATTCAAAATATGATTGGTATTGGACTAAATAAACAAAACAGGAAAATTTTGCTTTCAGTCCAAAATTTGTGGGTTAGATCAAATTAGTCCTCAATGTCTTAGTCAAAACAAATATAATCCCTAAAGTATCAATTTCAATTTAATTACCTCCTAATTAAAAAAATGTAATTCCTAAGATATATTGATCTGACCAAATTAGCCCCTAATGTTTTACAAAATTTAAGAAAGTATATAATTTAAAATACATGAAAATTCTACTAAATTGAAGGAAAAATATAGAATGAAATCAAAACTTTATTTACTCAGGTCATCTAAATAATCAAACCTAATATCGGAATAAAGCAAATGTTGTACATGTGCTCTATTAGTAAAATAAATTAACTATTGTAATTGTACATGCACTTTTATATACTTTTATATTCAATATACATATTGGCATATCTACTAATTGTTTTAATTTGGTCAAAAGTGCATAAACAAAATTTTTGTATATCTTTCATAGAATTGTTATGTATTTTAATATTAGATTGGTAAATGTTCTTTTATCTTACAAGCATTGGGAACCAATTTGGTCAATCAATATACTTTAGGGACTTTGTTTTTTAAATTGAAACATTAGGGACTAATTTGATCGAAATTGAATACTTTAGGGAATATATTTATTTTGACCAAAATAATGAGGACCAATTTAGTCTAATCTCCAAACTTGAGGATTAAGAATACATTTTTTGCCAAAACAAAATTGTTTGAAGTTCAAAGAAAAGGTCCTTTTTTTTAAGTAAAGGAACTATGAGATTTAAGAAGTTAGTAGAGGGAAGAGGGAATTAAAACTAGAACCTACAATTCCTAAGGTGTTGATGTTAACCACTAGATCAATACTTTCTCAACTGCGAAAAGACTAGTTTGATGAAATATTTGTTAAATAATATTAACGTCTAAATTTGTGAAGGACGCCCTAATGACTGGCACCATATGCAAAGCTGGAAATGTTGAATATTTAATTCTTTTTATTTTTGGTTCAGTGGTGTATGCCTTACGTGGGGAAGAACTGAAAAAGGGAAATAAAAGAGATTAAGATTTGAACCACGAATCTCAGAATAACTAGTTAATGTCCCTACTAGTTGAACTGGCTATTGGCAATAAAACAAATATATACAGAGACACAAAGAAACACACACAAATGTTTCAATTTCAAATGTAATTTGAAAGTACTCATTCTACTTTACATCTTCAAACTTGTATCACTTTTTCACTTTGTATCCTAAACTTTAATTTTGGACACTTTGCACCTTAAACTATTATCATTGTATTTGTTTAGGAATTTAAACTAAGCAATTTTATTTCCTAATTGTATTTGTTTAGGAAACTTGGTAGTCTATAAATACTACTAGTCTAATACATTGTTACTTGAAGAGTTGAGTTAAGTATTGAAGAATGGATTGAGAGATAGCCTCCAAATTGAGAGCTATAAGTTATTACTTGATATTCTTATTGTTGAGTTTTTATTTAATGAAATTGTTAAGTATTTGTTCGTGTATTTATTCTTCTGCTCTTCCCACATATTTTCATATGCGTTAAAATTGCTTATGTTCTGCGTGTTTTTCTTTTCGTGCCAACAAGTGGTATCAGACCTCTAGGTTTTGATCTTAGGGCTTGTTCACAAAATTAGGGTACGGAATTGGAAGATTTGTTCTTGCAAATTAGGACACAACATTGGTCCTAATTAAGTAGAGATTAAAATCTGAAACATGGATCCATATTATTTACAACATTGTGCAGTTTTTATCTTTGATGATAGAAATGAATTTGAGACTTGGAGTTGAATGATAAAGACATTTTCTTTCAAGCTATTAGGGTTTTGGATATTCTCCAATGGAGGTTCACAAAACCTGCAGAAGGCATGGAATTATCTAGAAGTGCAGTTAAACAGATAGAGAGAAATAGACAATTGATTGCTAGGCATTCCATTATCTTAATACAAAAGTCCAGTTGCATGTAGTAAAAAAAATTCATACATGCAAAGATGGCAAGGGAGGGTTGAACAATTCCAATGATTCTAATTGTGGTCATGGTATAGAAGAAATTGGTGACATTGAAAAAGAAAAAGAATTTTTTGATGAGGCAAAGAAAGAAAAAATTATAGAAATTTTGGGTGCATATGAAGATGAAAAATTTGTGATTCAAAATGAAATTTCGTGAGTGGTTGAGAAAAAAAAGATGTTTCTAGTGAAATTGAAATTGATTAAAGATCACAGCATGGTCAAAAATATTGAATTTATTGAAATTGATAATTTATTTGAAAAGAGAAAACAAACATTGGAGGTAGTCGAGATTAATTATGGAATGGACAAATTTGTCAAAAATTGTGTCATTGCTAAAACCAAAGTGATTGTTGGTATGGACGAATCAAAAGAAGTTCATGACGAAGTTGAACTTTTGATGGTGGAAAGTATAATTTTGTAATTTTGGGGGAAATTTTTTTTTATGATGTGGATTAATTAAATAATGGGTTATTCAATAAGCATGGGCGAACTTGTTTGAATTTTTGATAAAAGTGATCAAGTAAAGAAATTGTTCAAGAAGTACAACTTTCGTCCATTGCCACGTATGAAAACGAAGTTGAAGACCACTCATAAGTTAAGGTTGAATATTATGTTCACTGCAACTGAATTTTTCATGGAAATTCAAACTTGAGATGGCATTAGAGATGACTATAATGAAGAGTTTAGTGTAAAGGAAGCAATGATATAAATTAACCTAAGCTATTTTATTTCCTAATTATTTTAGTTTCTTATTTTGATGTCCTATTTGTTTTCCATATTAGTTTGGGAAATTTGAAATCAGTTTTCCAAGGAAGTTTTGGTTTGTAATTGTATTTATTTATGAAGCTTAGCAATCGATAATTTCAACTAGTTTAGCACGTTGTTACTTGAAAATTGAGTTGAGTTTTGAAGAGTGAGTTTGAGGAAAAACTTCTAAATTGAGATTTGTGAGTTTCTGTAAGCAAAATATTATGACTTAATATTGTTATTATTGAATTTTGAGATGATAAAATTATTAAGTATTTGTTTGTGTGTTTAGTCTCCTCCTCTTCCCACATATTTTTATGTGTTAAAATTGCTTCCTCTATGCATGTTTTTTTTTTTTTGCGCCAAAAAGTCTCAATTTTGGATACTTTACATCCCAAATTTTCAAATTTGCCCGTATTTAAATCCATTTAATGATAATGTTAACAAAATTAACTAGATAAAGTACAATGTAAATTGATGACAATGAATCGTTTTATTCTAACTATGATCCCTTGGCTGCTTTTGACAACTTTGAACACATTGTCATTAATTTGTATGGTCCTAATCTAATAATATAGGTAAAATTAATGAAATAAAATTGGTGCAAATTAATGATAATATATTGTTATGTTCTAGTTGCAACTCCTTAACTTCTTTTGACAATTTTCGGAAAATTATAATTGATTTATAGGGTTCTCATGCCATTAATTTTGCTGATGTTGCCTTTGATTGGACTTAAAGGTGACAATATTAAAAGTCTATGGTGCGAAAAGTCTAAAATTTAGAAAAGTGGTACAAGTTTAGGAGTACAAAATGGAGTTAGTCCAATTTCAATTGGGCGCAAATAAATTTACTCAAGAATATTAATATCCTCTAGCATAACATAAGTAGAACGTTGAAATGAATTATTTTCGCGTTTATACGATTTGTATGCTAATATAGGGGAAAATGTATAACACATCACCTATGATATATAGAAAAAGTTACACTTCTCACGTGATCTGGTTCCCCCAACGCCTTTCAGGACCATAAAAAGCCAGAAAACACTCTGTTCATCGACACTCACTTCCAGCATCCTGCTTCTCAAGTAGATTTAGGAGATAGTAAATAAAATTTACCCATCGGCTTCTCTTGAACTTCGTTCAATGGCTGTTTTTTGGTACACTTTGTTGTTTAGCTGCGTGGCATTGGTACATGTGTTACCGGAGACTGTGGGAGCAGATAAGTCCCAAAGAGAAAGAGAAGCTGACAAAGTTGTATACTTGCCAGGGCAACCACTTGAGCAGTTTGGTTTCCAGCACTTTGCTGGTTACATCAAACTCCGGCCAAACGATGAGAAGGCACTTTTTTACTGGTTTTTTGAAGCCCAAAATGATGTTTCTCATAGGCCTCTAGTTCTTTGGCTAAATGGAGGTTAGTATTTTGTCAACTTTCCTCGTTCTTTTCTAGACATTCTTGTATGCTCTTTCGTCTTGTGTGCTTTTCTTGCATCTTTTTGGGTAGTGATGGTGGCGGTCAGAAAGCGGATGGAAGATGGGGGAGGAGGGTGGTGGTTGGTGAAGAAGACTGGGGGAGGGTGGTGGTGGTTAGGTGTAGTATCTTGTATGTATGTGGTTAGAGTCAATAAAGAAGAAGAGAAGCATTAGCACTTGAAAACTTTAAACCTTGCTTGGATTGCTGTTTTCCGTAGAAAAATTTCGTCATTTTCCGTGAACACATTTCCCTATTACCTTTTTTCCTCACATACATCAAATCGCTACAGTAATTTTTCCATGAAAAATGACGGAAAATGCAATCCAAACGGGACCTTAACCTTTTGGGCTAATACTGTTTATCTTTACAACCTCTCTTTTTGTAAAATATACTAGTTGCTTTTACAAACTTTTGTTCCTTTATGGTGGAGTTCGAGACTTTCAGGAAATGTAAAAAGCCAAGCAAATCTTGCACTTTTGGAGGCAAGGCTTATGTTTTCCTCCGTTTTTTTTTAAAAAAAAAACGAAATTTGGGCTAACATTCCTCTCGTGACCGGTGTTTGCCACTCGTGAACGGGGTTTGTCAATTAAAACAAAAAATGGAGGATTTTGTGACCAGCAATTTTTGTTATTTTATATGGAGCTTTATGACATAATTCTGTTACTCTTCTTTTCTTATCTACAAAGTACAATGTCAAAAGTTCTGAATTTCTAATAGTTCTTCTTTTTACCCTTTTTTTAATGTCTGTCTAATAATTTGTTATCTTGTTACTGACAAAAAAATCCTGTTTGGTAGAATTCTACTGCTTTCACCTAGGAAAAATGGCTTGTCATATGTGCCATTTTCTCTACTACTTTTGAAATTTTTCCTTTTCTTTTTGGGGAGAGTGTATATGATAATCTAATAAGTAATCTCAACATTGATGTGTGTGGCTCTGTGCACTTGAGAGTTAAATGAGTTAAAATGGAGGGTCTAAGTTTAGACCCTTCATTTTAAATTCATGCATTATTATTAAGTAGACGCTATTAGCCATAATATCATAAATTCAATTTATACTTTTCTAATTACTAAACATCTGATGTGGCAAGAAAACTTAACCCCAATAGTTTTATACTCTTGGTTGCAAAACACATATCCTGGTTCTCCATACCATTTAAATTAATTTCTTGCTTATTTTTAACTATTTCCTTGATTTAAAGGTCCAAGAGTAGGGCATGAATAAAAGGTTGATTTTCTTTGTTATTCCTATAGCGATCAGAACTTCTTCAATAACTTATTCTGAAATTCGGCAAAATTTTATCTTATCTTCAGCATCAGAGATTTGGATTGGGCTGAAGATGAACAAAAATCTGCAGCAACATTTCTTTTCTTTTCTGTCTTTAATATGAGAGAAAAGGTTTAGTATATTATAGCACTTAATGATGAATTGAGCCTAAGTGAGATTAAGGGTATTAATATCTCAATAAAGAAAAATAGCCCCTTTCATAAATCAATTTCATAACTAAACTATTCACATGTTCAAAGTCCTTGACTCTTAGTTTTTTTTATTAGACAGCAACTGGTAATCTAATCTACTCCTACTTTAGCCTATTTTAGGGGGGAGAGAGACCCAATGGGGTCTAGAGAAACTGACAGGGATTGAACTATTATCAAATCAGATGGGTGCACTATACATTCATATTAATTTAGAAGAAATTACATATAATAACTTATTAATGGGAGATAAGGTTTGAATCCTTAACCTCCCATCCCACCAAGATTTAAAGTCCTTGACTCTTAGTTGGGATCAATAATTGTATATCAAAAAAATTTCCATGTTAACAAAAAACATAAAAGTAGTAATCCGACGGATGCCATCAAAATTCTATGAACCAAATCATCCTTAAATGCCATTACGATATACTTTTATACTTCATGCATATATGTTTTTTAACTCATACAGGTCAATCTTCTTCATGGGGAAATGAACCAAATCAAACAACTAATGCGTCATAGGAAAAAATATTAAAAATCCAGCAGCATGTGTACTTCTTGGAATTGATCAAATGGTTATCATAGGCATCATGGGCATAGGCACAAAAGCTGCTGAAGAGTGCACAGATTTAGAATTTGTTTGTGTCCGGCATGGCTTTTAGCTTTCCTTCTCATCTTCCTCTTCTTTAATCCAATGAATGATATAATATATATATATATATATATAATATGAATGTGTTGGCAAAGGAAGAAAGAATATCCTTTACAAATTTGAGAAAGTATTATGATAAGAATTTTGCTCCATAAACTATCGTTGTATGACATGAGTAATGTCTTTCCTTTTTCATTTTAATATCCTTCCATCCCTACCTCGAGCATATCTCTAAATCTGATAGTGAAAAAGACCCTTAAATCCCTCCCTGACCATTGGGCTAGCACCAGTAGTTATGACTTGAGTAAATTATAACATGAAATTATAGTAAATCTGTGAAATAAAATAATTCACTTCATTGTGTTAGTGGTGTTGAAAAGTAGTAGGAATGATTATTGTCAACCCCATATTAGCTGGAATGTTCCCTTTTTTGTAATGTAATGGGGCCTAAGACTTGGACACTTCCCCATTTTCTTTGTGCTTTTGTTTTTCTCTACTTTTGTTTTGACTGCAAAGTGTTTCACTAGGGGCCAACTTATTGGACCCCCGGGGCCAACTAATGGTCCTTTACAGGACACACAGGACACAAAGCGAATGAGGGGAGGAAAAAAAGAGAAGAGAAAGGAGAAGGTAAAGTAAAACGAAAAAGTAAGAAGACAAGAAATCGACAAGGAAGACGAAGAATGCAACCGAAACGATACAATATATATATATATATATATATATATATATATATATATATATATATATATATATATATATATATATATATAAAATTTGTCTTTCAATATTATATTGGGTACAATTATCTTTATTGCATTGATTTACTAGGGTAATAAAATTATGGAGACACTAGTATATCAAAATGAGGGGAAATTTGTCGAATTTAAACATGTGGCGGGATGGCTTTTTTATATGTTTGCAATTAGCAATAGGATAACATATTGGGCATAAAGTAGAACAATAAAAATGGCAAAGATAACTCATGGTTACTGCTGGTTTACTGTAGTTTGCCTAAATTATATATATATATATATATATATATATATATATATTAGTACAGAATAAAGAATTAAAAAAACCTACTGGATCCCAAACAATTTATTAATCTGTTAGCCAATATTTGATACTTTAGTTTGCATATTAATTACTTATGTTGTTTGCTACTATATTATGTTCCTCAGGACCAGGATGCTCTTCTGTTGCTTATGGTGCTATGCAAGAACTTGGTCCCTTTCTTGTCCGGAACAACGGACAGCTTATTTACAACAAATACTCTTGGAATAAGGGTAACAAATTCCTTGGATTTATCTCATTTTTCATTTCATTCTTACTCTCAGGAGCCGAATGGTAGCTTTATATAGTAGATCATAACGATTTTATTTTTTGGCCCTCATTTGAAACGCTTAATGTGGTTCTCTATGCAATAAAACCCCCATAAAATAATAATTGATAAATTAATAACCTCTATTAAATAATAATTTTTTAATCCCAACTTGGGCTAACGAGTTAAATTAATAATTTCGATAAAATAATAAGATAATAATTTTTTTGGAAACCTTATATAGTCCTTTAGTTCCATTTATATCATAAATTAATAATTCACTAAAATTATATTTTTCTAAAATATGAGTCTATTTTTTTTAAAACTTAAATCTAATTGAATCATGTCGAAATCAACTATGACTAATCACAAATGTGTAAAGAATGAGTATAGTAGAAAGCATCACACATGCATATGGATATCTATCTTTTTGATATCTATCATTTAGTATTCCTAAATCATTTTGACATCTTGATTATAGAAAAATGATGTCAATTATTTCATAATTGAAGATATTAATAAAATAAATTATACTTACGCATCAAGTAATTAATAATTCACTAAAATTATATTTTTCTAAAATATGAGTCTATTTTTTTTAAAACTTAAATCTAATTGAATCATGTCGAAATCAACTATGACTAATCACAAATGTGTAAAGAATGAGTATACTAGAAAGCATCACACATGCATATGGATATCTATCTTTTTGATATCTATCATTTAGTATTCCTAAATCATTTTGACATCTTGATTATAGAAAAATGATGTCAATTATTTCATAATTGAAGATATTAATAAAATAAATTATACTTACGCATCAAGTAGATATGCATTGGCTTATATTCCTTAGATAGAATTATAACTACACTTAATAAATTAATAAATTATTAATTTATAAATTAGCTAATACCTCTTTAAATTAATAGAATTTGTATGGTCCCAAGGGTATTAATTTATAGAGGTTTTACTTGTCATTTCTTAAAATTACAGTTAGACATGTTAATTGGTAGAGTTTGAGTTGGATCTCTCTGATCCAAATTCAAACCCGTCAAATTTAGTCAAACCTAAATTTGGATCTAGACTTGGACCTTTATGGTTTTGAAAAAATAAACCCCGATTTTGACCCTTATGGGTTCGGGTACCTAATAGGTACCCATAGCTATTTTTCTAAACATACATTGAAGAACTAAAATTAAAATATTTTAAAAATATGTAGAGGTTAAAAATAATATAAATGCCATCCAATTTTTGTTTTCAAATAATAAAATTAACATTTAAGAAGTTGAATGCAATATTTTAAACTTAAAGAAAAAACTATTATCAACTAATTCTATGTAGGTGGTGTTTTCTTAGTTTAAGAGCATATCCTATAACCTAACAGTTATGAATTCTTATTGTATCCATAATCCAGGGGCCATATAATATTAGATTAGTTTATAAATTTACTGATATATATATATATATTTATATCATAGGAATTTAAACTCTATCTAAACCTATGACTCTCTAATAGAATCTAAGTCTGATTAAGGTTTGGGCTTAAGAAGTTAAAGCCAACCCTACCCAAGTATATTGGGCATGGGTTAGATTTAAAAAAGATTCGATCTATTGACATGTCTAATTACAGTGAGGACAATTTTTAAATATTGAATCAGTTGATAATGTTGAGGTTTTAATATTTAGAAATTTTGGGTTCAAGTCTTCCTTTCCTCCCTTCCTATCTAGCAAATTCCATCCGTCCTCTGCTAGAATTTTTTTTTTTTTTCAAAAATCGATTGATACTAACAATAGGCATTGATCTAGTTGTAAAAATACCAAGGTTGATACATGAGAAATAGGATGTCTACATTCTGAATCTCCTAGCTGGGAATTGTAGTGTGGCTATTGTTAGTTTTCCCATTGTTCGGTGGTTATTATTCCACTTGTCCGGTTGTCGTTCCTGTCGTTTTCAACCCCAAAAAAAAAAAAAAAATCAATACCTTGTACAAAAATAAAAGAAAAATTGAGTAATAGCTTGATAAAAAAAAGTCAAGCAGCATGCAGGTTTCACTCCTAATATTTCAAATTTCTTAATATTGACTTTGTAACTCAAATGTTTTATTATTACAAATATAATAAAAAAAGCTAATCAAGATTAATTCATTAATTAGCGCATATATCTTGTTTGGTGTCTCAAAATTTTTCTCCTTCTCTAATGTGATTTTTATTGTATGATTTATACCTTGATTTCCGTACACAATTACATAAATCACCTAGGTGCAAATTAAAATTACAAAATTCCTTCGGGGATTAAAAGTAATTTAAGCCAAAAAATAGTCAAGCCAAGGTAAATAATTTTTTCCCCTTAAATCTGTGTCCCTAGGATAAAGCAAACAAAATAAATGGTGGAACTGTAAAATTACCACTTGCACTTTTGAATTGTGTTCACTTTCATCAAAGAAAAAAACAAAAGTACTTTAGCGGAAAAGTGACGTTTACTTCACTTTTTATCTTGTGCCTACCATGTAGAATAACTCAAAAATTTTTAAATTATTCTGTATCATTAACTATTCCCTATGTTTGGCGTGCACTGATGATACGATGCGTAGCTTCTTTGGTTATTAAATAAGTAGAAATCTAGTTAACCTGATGAATAAGATTCAGAAACTCAGTGCAATTTTTGTTTCTCAAGAGTACGATTACAAAAATAATACTATAGCATTTTTGGAATGCGATATATATGAGATAAAATGATAATTGAAAAGCACATTTAAAAAAAACCTCATTTTTGCCAAAAAAAAAAAAAGCCTATGCAAAGATTATAGTTTATGTGTGTGTGTGCAAATTAAATTCGAATTTCAATTAGGTTTTGGATAGAGGTGGCAATTTGGATTGAGATCTATTTATCCATCTATATAATCCATAATTAAATGGATTTGGATTATCCATTTATAATATTGGTTTTAAATGGTTGACCAAAGCAAAACCATTAAATTAAATGGATTTATATGGATTATCCACAAAAACCACATATATCCATTTACTTAAAAACCAAATAAAAGAAACGGAAAGGAAATGCCTGGTGAGGCCTCAGCAGCTCCCCTTGGCCTTGGTGGCCTCTCTCTCTCTCTCTCTCTCTCTCTCTCTCTCTCTCTCTCTCTCTCTCTCTCTCTCTCTCTCTCTCTCTGTGCCGTGCATACATGTGCCTGCTGGACTGGACATCATAAAATATGCCAGTTTGAATTTTATTCTTTTCTTTAATTCCTTGTAGTGTTCTTTAAATTCCTTGTAGTGTTCGTTATTATTAACTACGTCTTCCCTTGTGAATTGGGGATTGCAAGCACCTTCAGTCGCGTGATAAGTTTCTGCATCAGTTAATGTTTGATAGCTTAATTGTAGTTCTTTTGCTATCCAAAGTCCTTTTACGACCATGAGAGAATGGCGTATTTTGTACTCTTTCTCATCCAAATACACCTAAAATTTACAAGTACATAAAAAAGTATTTCCATATTACAAGAAATGATAATACAAAAATAAAGTAATCAAAATATTTAAATGGATTATAAATGGATAATTGGTTTTTATTTAATCCATTTAGATCCATCCATTTAGATCCATTTATTAAATGGATCTAAATGGATTGGATAAATTTTATCTACCATCCATTAAGTCAAAACCAATTATGAACCATTTATCCATATTGACACCTCTAGTTTTGGACGTTTACCTTTCAATTTGTGATTTAAAGTAACGAGAAGTAACCAAACGAATATGAGATAGTGCATTTAACTTCGTTATGTATTCACTCTCTGCTGATGTTATCTGTTACATTCAATCGTGTAGTTGCAAATATTCTCTTTCTGGAAGCACCTGTGGGGGTGGGCTTTTCATATTCAAACAAGTCAGGGGACACAGAGAAGCTCGGTGACTCAATTACAGCTGAAGATTCTCATGCAGTTCTGATCGGATGGTTCAAAAGATTCCCCAACTTTAGGCTTCACGATTTCTACATTGCCGGAGAGAGCTATGCTGGTATGATCTTACGCAAACTAATTTAGACAGTTAAAGAATAGTTAGGACTAATATTCAACATTGCATTCTTATTTATCATTTCGCTTTTGTTTATATGATACACTTTAACCTTTGCTCTGACCATTTTGATATAATTAGACCCAGAACTAAATTTAAATATAAATTTGCATATGAAAAATGTAAATAATGTTTGCCTTGTTGAACCACAAAAGAAGCAATATAGACTACATTTGTAGCAAGGTAATAGTTTGGCTTATAAAGGGAAAAATAAACCCATTTGCCTACTATCGAGTTGAGATTTCTTTTTTGGTACTTTGGAAGGCCATTTATAAGGAAATTAACAGATAAGTGGCATGATTAGGAGCCTCACAAGTTGCATCTCGTACAATTTTGCATAAATTTGTTCCTGGTGTAAATGAGTGAAATTTTCGTGTAAATCATTTTAGGTGTCCAAAAGAGTGTAAAGATAAATTGGATTTGGGCGTAAACAGGTTATATTCACGCGTAACTCTAGTAGAATTAGTTTGTTATTATCTGGTCTAAATCATATACAATTGGTGTAATTTGGAGATGAATTGCTAATTTATCCCCAAATTGTACGAAATGGAACGTGTGAGGTCCATCCCACTAAATGAGCACTTAAAATTGATTGAAGGGACCACGGAGGCTCTGATTAAATTACAAGTCTAGGTGACTTCTCAAGTCTCTCTTTGGCCAAGTGGTCAGCTACTATGTTCCCCTCTCTCATGCAGTGCACAAAATTTGCATTCCCAGTTCCGAGCTATCCAGCTTCTTACAATCGTATTCAATTTGAAATGGGGGCTTTCTACCCTGGTCTTTTCAACTAAGTCGATTCCTTTGTGTCAGACTTAACTGCTACTTTTCTAAACCCCATCGTTAACACTAATTTTAATTCACATATCATGGCCCAGAATTCTGCCACAATGGTTCTTGGCAGTGCCCAACTTATTGCTGTATCCGGATCTGGCAACCAGAGACTCAGAGAACTTTCAATGGCCAGGATTACTTAATGCTGGATCCAGATCTGGCAACCGCAGACGCAGAGAACTTTCAATGGTCGAGATCGGCCGAGCTGACCTTGGGCTGATCTCAGTGAGCTGACCTCGTCTATTGAAAGTTTTAACCATATTCTGCAATTGTACTGCAACCGCAAACGACCTAGGTCCCTTAATACTCCCCTCCAGTCAGCCCCTTCAAACTCCTAAGACATCTCTAATTACTCCTACTACAGACTGCTACTCTTGAATTTTTGGCCAAGACTTCGTCTACATTCAGTTTAATCCAATCAGCCTATGGACTCTGCCAATTGATCATATATAGCTCCTTGCTCCCTCTGCTGCTTCTTTTTTCCATTGTTGCTTCTTCGTGATTGATACAAAGGCTTAATATGAACGGTCTTTGGAACTGAATACTGATAGTTTGATGCCAATGCACTTTACTTGGCATGCTTTACATTTAAGTCAATTTAGTTTAATGGCCAGCGAGGGATAATTGTTTTCCTCTAAAAGGTAGATATTTAAAATGGAGACTTGCATTTGAAGTTTTTGCTTCATTTTAAGCCAATTTAGTCTCAATGCCAATCGGAAATAATTTGATGTCCTGTAGTAGGAAAAATTGTAAATGGATTTTGTACTTGAAGTTTTTGTTTTGTTTCAATGCTCCATAACTAATATATATCCTCTACGTGTCACAGGTCACTATGTTCCTCAGCTCGCCAATCTTATTCATGAAAAGAATAAAGGAGCTAAGAAAGGATATTCAATTAATCTGAAGGGAATACTGGTATACAAAATGTACTCTCTTCATTTCCATATTAGTTGGCGACATTATAATCTTTTTGTCCAACATTAATGTCATATTTCTACTTAAATTAATCAATTAGATATGTACTACATTGGTTTACATCAAATTGTTAAAAAATGTTACTAAACAATTTGGGGAGAATAGTGCAATAATTTAATAAACTTCGTGGAGCATACAATGTTAGCATCTATACATACAATCTTGTTTATTTTGCAAACATAGGTGGCTGCCCCCATTCCTCAACCTCCGCCAATGGCAATAGTTACATGATTTTCTAACTTTTTCTCTAAGCATTTTCTTAACTTTCAACTGAATTACCCTAAATAGACTTTGATAAAATAAAATAATGTGACTTTCGTTGATGACGAACAGATGGGAAATGCAGTAATCAATGACCCAACTGATCAACCAGGTTTAATCGATTATGCTTGGACTCATGCAATTATCTCCGACCAACTCCACCGGAACATATACAAAGATTGTGATTTCAAAAGCAACATTTCGACCAGTCAATGTACTATGCATATTAGAGGTTTTTTAGAAGCTTATTCAGGCATAGACATTTACAACATCTATGCTCCCGTTTGCCTCAGTTCCTTGAACAAGGCTGCTCAAAAACTCATCGTGGCACCTCGATTTTTCACTCAACATGTAAGTATTTGCTTGCACCTTTATATTTCTGTGCTTAAGCTTCAATATTTGCAAAGAAAGCAAGTCTAATTGTTGGAAAATTAAACTAAGCTTTTCGAACAATTTTGCTTAAAAATGTAAAATGGAACTCAGCCAACCGTAGACAGAATAAGAAAAAAGGAGTTTATTGAAATCTTACGAAGTTTGCAGGTTGAATCCAATTTTGAAGTTTCTTGATTACAAAATTTTAGAGAGATAGGAGAGAATTCTTTAGTTTTAGAGAGTGATTTAGCTAAAGAATTGGTGTGTTTAGAATGATGAGTTTGATGGGTATTTATAATAAAATTTTTCATTTTGTCATTGTATCCGCTATAGTGCACAGTGCACCGTGTTTTGCTACGGTGTAAAGTGCATTTTGTCTACTATGTTTGCACGGTAACTACCAGATTTCTACAGTATTTTTCATTATTTCTATTACATAATATAATTTTATATTGATTTTATGGAATTTTGTGAATAAATTCCATAACAGTCATTGTCGTTATATTGGAGTCCATACGTCAAAACTATTTTCAAAGTCTTGACGATTCTTCCGTTTATTTTCCTTGATGATTTTGGCTAGTATCTTGATTTTGATTGGTCCAATTGTTGTAGAATTTGTTTTAATTGTTTGACATATTCGTCTTTGTTAGTGACTGATACCAATTTCACAGCTGCTAGAGTTTTTTGCTGCAAGAATTGTGTGACCTTCTAGTCGACTGGTTGATGGCTCTTGGGTTCCTCTGGAGCCATGGCTGAATGTTGTGGTTGGATATAGTCTGTTGTAAAGGTCAACCACCGCTGTGTGTAGGCCAGTTTGACCAGTAGTGGTAGTAAAAGTTGTTATTTGACAAACTTAAATTTTCACTGGGAGACTGTAATGGTACTACTAGTTGGGATCTGAATAAGCTAAGGAGGTAGAGGAGTGTAGCAGAGAGAAAGTAGGGAAGGAGGAGAAGTGTGAGAGGGAAGAGAGGAAAAGATAGTGCAACAAGGAAGGAAACTGAATTGGTTGTATCTGATAGCGTGGTCTTTATGTCCCCTTAGGCTTTATTTATACAGAATGCTCCCTCTAGATCCTTCTGCGACTAACCAATCTCTTAACAGAATGAGCATGCATGCATGCATGCCTTTTAACAGCTAGCTGACTAACTAACTATCTGAAATGCTAACTAACTACCTGAAACGGAAAGCGTGGCAGATACATTTCTGCTCAGAAATATCTAGTGAAAATATCTAGGGTCATTACAACACCTCCCCCATAAGAATCCTAGTCACTAGGATTGAGCTGGAAATTTGGAAACTGTGATTGTATCACCGTGACATCCTCCCAAGTTGAGTCTTCAGTGCTTAGGTTCACCCATTTGATCAACACTTGAGTCACCTTCTGTCTTTTCCTTATGATTTCACGAGTAGCAATCACCTTTTCAGTAGCAATTTTAATCTGTCCATCCATAGTCGTCAAGGGTAACTCCTGAGTCACAACATGATTCTTTGCAGATGGTTTAAGCAGGGAGACATAGAAGGTAGGATGTATCAAAGAACCAGCAGGTAATTCCAGTCTGTAGGCCGCATTCCCCACCTTCTGAAGGACCTTGTAAGGGTCATAATACTTGGAAGATAACTTCAGATTTCTCCGGACTGCTACTGAAGTTTGTCTATAAGTTTGCAATTTCAAATAGATCCAGTCTCCTACCTGAAAACTCCTTTCAATTCTATCTTTGTCAGCAAACTGCTTCATTCGATTCTGAGCCTTGATTAGATTACCCTTCAGCAGTTCATTCCATTTCCTTCTATCCCCTAGCCATTGTTCCACAGCAGCTGCTGGAGTCTCTAAGGCATTGAGGCCTAATTGAGAGGGTGGATAACCATACAGAGCCTGAAAAGGACTCATCTTCAAGGCTGTGTGATGGTTGGTGTTGTACCACCATTTAGCAGCTACTAGTAAGGACTTCCATTTGTGAGGCTGTTGGAAACACAAACACCTCAAGTATGTCTCTATACATCTGTTCAGCCTTTCTGTCTGCCCGTCTGTCTGAGGGTGGTAGGCAGTGGAGTAGTGCTGCTTAGTACTTAGCTTCCCAAACAACTCCTGCCAGAACATGCTAGTAAACAGCCTGTCCCTGTCTGATACAATGCTCAGAGGTAATCCGTGCAATTTGTAGATGTTATCAAAATATATGTTAGCTATTGACTGTGCTGTATACTTAGAGGATAGTGCTACAAGATGACAATACTTGGTGAACCTGTCGATGACCACCAGTATCCCTTCATATCCTTGAGATTTGGGTAATCCTTCTATGAAGTCCATTGAAAAATGTTGCCATGCTTGCTCAGGGACAGGAAGGGGTTGCAGTAGACCTGGTGCCTTGCAGTTTTCTACCTTGCTCCTTTTACAGACATCACATTGCTGCACCTACTCTTCTACCTTCCTCTTCATCCCAGGCCAGAAGAATGGTCCCTTCAACCTCTGATAGGTTCCCAGATTTCCTGAATGACCCCCAAGGCGAGAGTCATGGAAGCAGGCTATCAGCTTCTGTCTCAAGTTCCCTAACGCTCCAATGTACACCCTACCCTTATACCTGAGCAATCCCCCAACAAAAGAGTAATTTGGGAGAGAATCTGGTGTAATAGTCAAGGCTTCAATTAGCTTAGTCACTGCACTATCCCCTTGGTAGCTTTCCAGGACTTCAGACAGCCATGCAGGTTTCATGACTGAGAGACTGTGTGTAGAACTGTCTCCTTCATAGTCTCTTCTGGACAGTGCATCGGCCACAAGATTTTCTTTCCCTTTTTTGTACTGTATTTCATAATCCAATCCTAACAATTTAGTAAGCCACTTTTGCTGAAGGGGGGTAGTTATCTTCTGCTCCAATAGGTATTTTAAGCTCTGGTGATCTGTCTTGATAATGAAATGGTTTCCCAACAAGTAATGCCTCCACTTAGATACAGCTGTGATAAGGGATAACAGCTCCTTCTCATATATTGATAACCCCAAGTTCTTAGGCCGCAAGGCTTGACTGAGATAAGCAATAGGCCTTCATTGCTGCATGAGTACAGCTCCTATAGCCTTATGACTAGCATCTGTTTCTAGAACAAATGGTAAGGAAAAATTAGGAAGTGTGAGGACCGGTGTGCTACTCATCAGTTGTTTAAGCTTTTGGAAGGCTAGCTCAGTATGTTCACTCCAGTGGAAATTTTCTTTCTTCAGCAACTCAGTAAGTGGCTTGGCAATGAGTCCATAACCTCTCACGAACCTCCTGTAGTAGCCTGTAAGTCCCAAAAATCCTCTCAAAGCTTTCACTGATGTAGGTGTAGGCTAGTCCATCATGCTTTTGACTTTTGAGGGGTCTGCCTGTACTCCATCTCCACTGATAATGTGTCCCAAATACTCCACTTGAGACTGTCCAAAGATGCATTTGGAAAGCTTGGCAAATAGGGAGTGAGATCTGAGTGTTTCTAGGACAGTTTTGAGGTGTAAAAGGTGAGTGTTTGGGTCCGGACTGTACACAAGGATGTCATCAAAAAATACTAGCACAAATTTGCTCAAGTAAGGTTCGAATACATGGTTCATCAGGCTTTGAAAGGTTACTGGTGCATTGGTAAGGCCAAATGGCATGACTGTGAATTTATACAGTCCAAGGTGAGTTTTGAAGGCTATTTTTGGAATGTCAGCAAGGTACATTCTGATCTGATGGTAACCAGCTCTTAGATCAATCTTAGTGAAGAGCTTAGCACCATATAGCTCATCGAGTAAATCATCAATGATAGGTATTGGAAATTTATCTTTGATAGTCAGGTCATTTAGTTGTCTGTAATCAACACAAAATCTCCAAGTTCCATCTTTCTTTTTAACTAACAGAACTGGAGATGCAAACGGACTATGGCTGAGCTGAATAATGCCACTACTAAGCATGTCTTTTACCTGTTTTTCTATTTCATTTTTCTGGTTGTGAGGGTACCTATAAGGTGCTAACTTGAATGGCTTGGCATTTGGTACTAAAGGAATTTGGTGGTCACAGTCTCTGGAAAGGGGGAGGGATTTTGGCTCTCCAAATACATCCTTGTAGTCTGCAATTAGAGCATCTAGGGACTGTTGAAAAGTAATATCCAACTGAGTTATAGTGTGTACCTTAGTTCCACTCATCCTCAGCCCGCAGGCATGCTTCCAAATTCTGGTGCTTAGTCCCTCTTTCTCAGCATTATCTCTAGGAAATTTGAGGACGGCCTCCTTAGACTCCCCTTGTAGCAAGACCCTTTCCCCTTCCTTATCAAATGTCATGTTCAACTGCCTGAAGTCAAAGGTGATGGGGCTGTGTGCAGCCATCCAATCCACTCCTATGATCATATCTTAAGGCTCTAAGTTAATGATAAACATGTCATGAGTGAATTGTTTACCTTGCATTTCCCAGTTCATGTTTGGAATCATCTTACTACAGGTCAAGTACTCCCCATTAGCCACCTTGACCTTGAAGGGTTTGATAGACTGAACCATCCCTGGAAAGAGTTGAGCCACAGTATTTTTGACAAAGCTGTGAGTACTTCCCCCACCACCAGGATTGACAGGGGGGTCCCTTTGAACAGCCCCTGCAGTTTGATGGTATTGTAAGTCATCTTCCCTGTCAGTGCATGTATTGCCATCTCCACTCCTTTGGCCGACTGTGTCCCTTGGTACTCAATTACCTCCCCTTCCTCCAAATCCTCAGGCCTATCTTCTACTGCTACAATCAGATGGATCTCCTTCTGCCTGCACTGGTGACCTGGACCAAACTTTTCTCCACACTTGTAGCAAAGATGGTGTTCCCTTCTGTACTGCAGTTCTTCTGGTGTGATTTTCTTGAAGTGTTGAGGTGTTTTCTTGACAGCATTGACAATGACAGGTTTGGTAGGTGCCACAGTGTGCTGAGCAGCAGTCTGTGTGGTGTTTCCCTAGGCCATGGCCCTCTGATGAGGTTTGTGCTTCCTATGGTAGGCTTCAAAGG